CGTTTTTGGTTGATCGTCAGATGTTTCCTCTGCTCCATCGCGCCAGCCAGCTCTGCAGCAAGCTTCAGGCGAGGGCGGGCGGGGGCCGAACAGAGCAGACCGACCGACGATGGAGGAACACCAATTCCCTGTCCCAAGCCGTGCCGTGCGCATCGTGTACAGTCGCGCGCAGACAGACGCGGCAACAAATGTTTATCTTCGGCCACACCCAGGCTGCCTGCACATGTATAATATGATATACTGTTTGAACATAGCCTCTTCCCCATTCCCAGGAGTCGGGGGTTAGAGGGCCAGCCGCGCTCGCAAGAACAAGATCCAGGGGAGGGGTGAGGATTTGCCGTCACAACTTTGTCGCCGTCGCCGTTTGCTGCTGCGGGCCGCCGTTGCTGCCGTCATCGCCGTCGTCGTCGTCGTCGGAAGGCCCCTCTTCGCCCCCCCTTTCCCCTGCGGTTTCTTGTTCCCCATCCCCTGCTCCGCATCCCCCATGCCTCCTTCCCCTCCCCCTCCTCCGCCTCCTGCTTCTCCTCTTCCTCCTCTTCCTCCTCCTCCTCCTCCTTTTCGTTCTTCTTCTCCACCCTTTTCACAAGTTATCGCCCTTCCTCCTCCTCCCCCTTCGTCCTCCTAGTCACATTCCCCCCCCTCCTCCTCCTCCTGCCCCCTCCTCGTCTTATTCCTCCTCTTGCTAATTTTCCTCATCCTTGTTCCTACTCCGAATCCTCCTCCTTCTGGAGCTCCTCCTCCTCGTCCGTGTCCTCGTCGGTCCTCGTCGTCATCCTCCTCCGCCTCATTCTCCTCCTCCTCCTCCTCCTCCACCTCCTCCTCATCCTCCTCCTTCTCCCCGCCTCCTTCCCCTTCCAATTGGGGTTCGTGACCATGGCGGTGTGGCATCTGTTGCGTCTCCCACGGGTTTGGAGGACCCCTATTCTGACCTCGGCTGGCCATCTCATCACATCATGTGCCCTCTAGGCTCGAGGGGTGGGCGCCGCTGACGGCGGTGCCAGGGGGCGCCATCCAGGGGTCCGGGCACCTGGCACTTCACCACCCCTTCCCCCCCGAGTTCCGAAGCCGCCCATTCGCCTGAACTCCGCTGGGACATCGCGCCCTCGCATCGGCGCCCAGTGCCATATGTGCGCGACGGCCAAACACAATATTCTTTTTTAAAGAAAAACACCCCTCAATCCTTCTAATATTCCTCCTCCTCCTCCTCCTCCTCCTCCCTCCTCCTCCTCCTTCTCCTCCTCCTCCTCTTCCTTCTCCTCTTCCTCCTCCTCTGCCGTTGCCTCGTACCCCTCCCACCCTCTTCCCCTTTTTCCCCTTCGCCCTCCCTCCTTTCCGCCCCTCCCCCATCCCCCTCCCTCTCCTCCTCCGCCGCCTCTTTCCGCACTCCCCTTTTCTTCCCCTCCCTCCTCCCTTCCCCCCGCCCTCTGCGCCCTCCCGTGCCTCCCAATCCATCCGAACACCGCGCCGACGGCCACGCTCGTGATGATTATACGCCGCATCCACCGACGCGTCAGTTTGTTTTGCTGCCCCGCGCGGGATCCGGTTCCACATCGGTGCTCAAGCCGACCAGGACACGCTCGCGCAGACATTACCCCCCCCCACCCGTCCCTTTCCCCCCCCCTCCCTTCCCCTCCCCCCCCTTCCCCCCTCCATGCACCCCCTGCCCCTCCCTCGGACTCTGGGATTCGTGGTCTGGACCGCCGTGCCGCGACACATTCACTCGACGACGCCCGCGCCGAACATCACATGTTAGATTTGCGTATGGCGCGCTGTGCCACTCTCTCTCTCTCTCTCCCCTATGTATATACACACGGCACACACATTGAAATACTACATCTATATACGTATATATCCATATATCATTGTATATATATATATATATATTCAATACATACACACGCACACATACATATATATATAGATATATATCTATATACGTATACGTATACGTACGTACGTACATGTATACATTCGCGCAATGAGCCTTAAAATGCGCATTTTTAAAAAAGTTTGCGACACATGAAATGCGCATTTTCAACAACTGATCTGCGCATTTTTGAAAAAGTTTGTTTCGAAAAAATGCGCGTATCGCTGTTGCGAGATGTCCGGGCGCTTGATATAGAAATGCGCAGACCTTCGCTTTCTCATTCAGCTGATCACAATATCAAAATCTTTAACAAAAGACAAATGCGCATTTTTTTCAAAAATGCGCGTTTTCATAAAAAAATGCGCGGATCGACCCTCTGGGAAGGTGATGCGTGCCAGCTCCAGCTCCACCGTAGCAAAGCCCCCCCCCCCTGCCTTGCCGATATGTGCTTCGCGCAGCCTCTTACGTCGCAACAATAGGTCTGAGCGCTGTCGCTCCAGCGCAGTCTTCATATGCGTAGGCTCCAAAACAAGTTCCCATCGCCGCGTTGACCAGGAGTAGCGCAGAGGAGTTCCACAGCTCGTCGGTGTTCGGCAGCGCGCACATCCTTATCCAATTGTCCTCATCAATGTCCTTCAGCGCGCGGTGAATGGTCCCGACTTCCGCCGTGCACGACTCCTTGCCTCCGAGCTTCGCCATGATGGTATCATAGTCCCAGGTCTGCCGTGGCTGCGCAAAAGGCACCGCAGGTGCAGGAACATTCAGCGTAAACGGGGCGGTGGTCCCTGTCGTCCGACGCGCTGACGGGTCGTAGCCGCCGCCTTGCACCTCTAAGGACCTTGCAATGCGTCGCGTGTGCAAGAAGGCCCCAGGGGGCGTGGAGGAAGATAATCCTGCTCGAACGGCCGTGGGCTCCGAAGTGCGTGTCGCCCGCGGGGAACGCGGTGTTCAACGCAATGATGTCGGAATACTTGAAGTACTGGTGCCAGAGATTTCCCGCGATCCCCTCGAGCTCCCGCTGGTAGCAGCCTACGTGTGAATCGTCTTCGTCATCTATGGGATGGCCGTCCACGATTTCGTCGTGGGTGTAGCCAGGCTTGTCGTTCAAACCAATCCCTGTGAAGGGTGTGCGACGTGTGTGTGTGTGTGTGTCCACACTTTCGAGTACTCCTCGGGCCCACGAGATCATTGCTTGCACCGTAGTGCGGTATGACGCCTGGCCTGTGCCCCCTGACGACAACATTGGGAAGTACACTGACATAAAGAGGACGTCCAGCTCCGTCGTCTGAAGACGGATCGCACCACATCGCCCTGCCAGCCGCGCGGATGGGTAAAACAACTCGACGAGGAAAGGCCCTGGGAAACCGACGATGGTGTAGCATAATGCTGGCCCCGCATGTTTTTGAACTGACCCGCGACCACCCGAAGGCAAGTTCCCACTGATTGCCATGTGAAAATAAATCGTGTGGAGACCCCATCCACCTGTCTGCGGCCAGTGCGAAATAGCAAGACCACTCCCGCATTGCGAAACTCAGCGGGCACTTCCGCTGCCCGCACCGCGACCGTCAAGAACATCGGGTTGTAGGTACACAAGGAGTGTTATGTGGACCGCGTGCCGCTCAGGACGGGCCGTGGCGGCGGCTGGAGGAGGAGGAAGAGGAGGAGGAGGAGGAGGAGGAGGAGGAGCACGAGAACCAGTGCAAACCCAGGACGCATCAAAGTACCCTCCCCCCAAGTTCCCTCTTCATGCCTTTATATCACAAGGTGTCGTCCATTGCTGGAAGTGCCCCATCGGAAGACAGCAGTCTGAGAATCCAAAACCGCACCAACATGCAATTCCTGGGACTTCAACGCCGCGATGCAATTTGACTGTTGCGTCCTGACAGTCCTATGCCATACCTGAACAGCTTTTTCGGGCTTCAAAACCGCGAATCAACATGACTATGACGTCCTGACAACCCTAGACCGTGCTAGAACAGTATTCCTGGGACCCCAAATCCTTGAAGCTGTTGCGAATTCCAGATGAATGTGCGCGGCGCTAACGCGGGAGCCGCATGTGGAAAACAATGCACCCTCCATCTTTGAAGCTGCTGCGAACTTTTAAACCGAATGTGCGCGGCGCTGAAGCGTTGGCCACATGTTGAAAACCACCTGCCCTCTATCCTTCAAGCTGGGACGAGCTTTGAGTAGTTACGAATGCGCGGGGCGCTAGGGCGACAGCTGCATTTTGAAAACCGCCCGCCCTCCATCCTTGAATGTGTTGCAAGCTTTCGGGGGGATATGCGCGCGGCGCTAAGGAGAGAGCCACACGTTGAAAAGGACACGAACTTTAGCTTTGGAACTGTTGTATGTTGCACATTTCAAGTTTCAAGATCATAAACGTTGAGAAAGCCTCGGGCGAAACGCCCGGCCCGCCCTACCGACACGTCTGGGGGTGCGACAGGGAGGAGTTACTTATAGGCGAAATCATGAAGGACGAGGAGGAGGAGGAGGAGGAGGAGGAGGAGGAGGAGGGAGGACTAGGGGGATGAGGGGCAGGGAGGAGAAGGAGGGGAGGAGGAGGAGGAGGCAGGGAGGAGGAGGGAGGGGGAGAAGGAGGAGGAAGGGGAGGAGGATGGAGGATGGAGGAGGGAGAGGAGGAAGATGGAGGATGGTAGTAGGGGGATGAGGGGGAGGAGGAGGAGAAGGAGGGAGGATGAGGAGAAGGGGGATGAGGGGGAGGGAAGAGAAGGAGGAGGAGGAGGAGGAGGAGGAGGAGGAGGAGGAGGGAGGGAGGGAGGGAGGGAGGAGGAAGGAGGGAGGAGGGAGACGGCCCCAGGGCCCCGCAAGAGACGGCCCCGCGGCGAGGGGCTAGTCCCTGGGGGTCGGATGTCACGCAGCATGTGGTCGATGTCAGGCAGTTCGTGGTCGATTGTACGCAGTCTGTGGTCGATTTCACGCAGTCGGTAGTCGATTACGCACAGTTTATAACCGATGTGTGGTCGATTCCGTCGATTTCACGCAATATGCGGTCGATGTCATGCAGCAAGTGGCCGAGTTCACGCAGTACGTAATCGATGTCACGCTCTTCTTCGTCGGCTTCATTGTCTGTTTTTTGGGGTGCGTCCTGCTGCTTCCCCATCCTCGTCTTTTTCTTGGGAGCGCCCTTTATCAAGCGGTCGTTCTGCTACAACCTGGTTCTGCAAGTCCTGAGTCGACGACCCATAAAACGTAGACGTTCGGCAGACTGGTTGAGTCTCTACTCTAACGGTTCGAGTATGCTGCGAAGTCTATGCTGCAGTAGCCCAAGCAGTCGAGTAGCCACATCGCGGAAATGAGATAATACCTATACGACCACCCTTCGGGTGATAAGGAGGTTCGGGGGGGGGGAGGAACCAACGTCTCACTCGATCGGTCTCACTATCGATCTCACTATCGATCTCAGTATCGGTCTCGCTCGATCGATCTCCCTCGATCGATCTCACAATCGATCTCACTCGATCTATCTCACAATTGATCTGACTATCGATCTCACAATCGATCTCACAATCGATAACACATTCGGTCTCACTATCGATATCACTATCGATATCACAACCGCTATCACAATCAACGTCATCATCATCATCATCATCATCATCATCAACAACATCAACATCAACATCATCATCACCAACATCATCATAATCGGGACACCGTCCTCATCATCAGAACCAACATCATCATCATCATCATCACGGTCATCAACATCATCAGGACACCACCATCATCATCATCAGCATCATCACAATCATCATCATCAGCATCATCATCATCATCATCATCATCATCAGCAACATCGGGACACAGTCATCGTCATCATCATCATCAGCAGCAGTATCATCATCGGGGCACCATCATGACCACCATTGTTATCATCATCATCATCATCATCATCATCATCGGCACACCATCATCACCATCTCATCCTCATCATCGACATCATCATCAGCATCATCAACATCACCATCAGCATCATCATCGCCATCATCGGGGCACCATCATCATCATTACCAACATCAGCATCAACATCATCATCATCATCACCATCGGGACGCCATCATCATCAACATCATCATCATCATCACCATCAGAAAATACATCATCATCGGGACGCCATAATCATCATCAACCTCATCATCATCATCATCATCATCATCATCATCATCATCGGGACACAGTCATAATCAGCATCATCAACATCAACATACACATCATCATCGGGACACCATCATCGTCATCATCATGATCATCATCAACATAATCATCATGATCATCATCATCCTCATCATCGGGACACGATCAGCATCATCATCATCATCATCATCATCATCGTCATCATCATCATCATCATCATCATCATCATTGACATCATCATCATCATCGGGACACCATCATCATATCATCATCATCATCATAGTCATGATCAACGTCCTCATCATCATCATCATCACCATCAGCATCACCATCATCATCATCATCGTCATCATCATCATCAGCAGCATCATCATTATCAGCATCACCATCACCATCACCATCACCATCATCATCATCATCAACATCATCATCATCATCATCATCATCATCATCATCATCATCATCATCATTCATCATCATCGCGGGACACCGCGGGACACGAACCCGGGGCGCGGCACCGCGGGACACCGCGGGACAACGGGCTCGGACACCGGCGGGACACCGCGGGCCACCGGCCGCCCGGAAGGGAGTCATTTGGTCCGGCCGCGCCTCAGCCACACGGGACTTTCGCGGGACACCGGCGGGACACCGCGGGCCACCGGCCGCCCGGAAGGGAGACATTTGATCCGGCCGCGCCTCAGCCACAGGAGACTTTCTCTCGCCCGCCCACGCAGCTTCGCCTCGCCCGCACGCACGGCACGCACGAACACGAAACCGAAATCGATTTCCCGGTAGGGGGGCTCTAGGTAGGGGGGCTCCCCTCACCTCCGACAGACTGCTCCACGGCATCCAGCTGTGCCCTGAGACCCGCGATCTCGGCGAAGTTGTTCTCGATTCCTTGGTTGAGCTCCGAAGGTTGTATTGCACGCGCGCGCGCCAGGGATGCGGATGCGGATGCAGCGATGCGGGGCTCACCCGCGCCCGGGACCCTTGAGGGCGGTCGGGCTCGCTGAGACACACGCGTGACACGGGCACTCCAGGAAGCACGTGCGATGTGAAACAACATGATGGGCAAATGTTGTGTTGCTCCCATCGTACTTAAGGCCCACATCCCAGAAATAATTTCGAGCACCCAGAAAAATGTCGAAAAAGTGTCGGAACAGTGTCGAACGAATGTCTCCCAGGGCCCGACACGTGAAAACCCTCAAGTTTCGGTACTTTCTTGGTGCTCGAAATTCTTTCTGGTGATCAAGACTAAAGTAGGCTGGAACATCATATTCAAGTGCACAACCATTCAAGAAGAGAGGGAGAGAAGGGAAGCTAGGCAGCCATCTCGGAGGCAACTGCACAAGGGAAATTTAGCCGCGCGCGCGCCAGGGGGTATTAATAAATCGTTCCCCCTTCTTCTCCTCGTCTCCTTCAGCTACTCCTTCTTCTTCTTCTTCTTCGGATTCCAGTTTATCGGTACAGCAGAATCAGCAGAGTGGGGGCGGTATCGAGAGCACCGCGATCAGGCTGGGCGGAGGCGGAGTGGACTTCGACCGAACGCAAAAGTCGGCTACATGCAAGAGTGACCCTGGGCAAAAATGACCTCTGGTGCGCGGCTTAACGGTCGACGCGGGGTGGCCAAACCTAGGCGCGCAAGCCGCTGCTGCCGCTTCGCGCTCAGCGTTCGGGGGACCCCATTGGGCCCGCACCCAAAGGTCACTCCGGCGAAGGGTCACTCTTACGTGTAATCGAGAAAGGACATACTACAATCCTCGTCAAAATTAAGCTCACAAATGTCTTACGTGGCTGAGCTGTTTGTGGGGACATACTGGTCAGAATTGCGGTGACTGCGAGGTACTTGTATGCGCCGCTCCTCCAATGTCGGTCATCATCGAACTTCCGAGTCGTTCCCGGTCAGACCACTCTTGCCTTGGCCCCGACATTGGAGGGGCGTCGGAGGGGCGTCTATCGACATTGAAGAGCGCGCCGACATCGCAGGGGCGTGGTCGCCATTTTTGAAGTGAATTTTGACGAGGGTAGTAGTACTATGTGTCCTCCTTGAAGGCGTGCGTCCGACCCGAACGTATAATATAAACATCTTGTCGTATCTCGTTTCCCAAGCGGTATGGCCAGAAAGCGCCCGCCATGGAGCTTATATTATAAGACTTCTCAGCTCGCGCGTCGCCCCTGGGGGGCGACGCACGCATAGTATTCGTATGTGGGGGTAATGCCGATTTGATGCCTTCCGCCTTCTTGGGCCTCCAGAGGTCGCCTCGGGGCGGCAATTCTGCGGAAAGGGACGCAGGCTCGCGCCACCCCCCTCCACGAAACTTGACCCAATTGTTTCTGAGCCTCCCCGGACCTCAAATTTCAATGTTGGCTGTCATTCGTGACGCAATCCGCGAATGTGGGTGAAAAATCAAACGTGCTCAACGTGAACGTGATTGTTGAAAAAAAAGCTTCCGGGTTCCTTACGCGCTAGCTCCAAACATTGGGTGAAGTTTCGCGGCTGGATGGAGCGGGTCAAAGACGTCTCAGGCTGGGCGGCCACCAAGCCGTAGCCCAAGTTTAGCACTCGTACTGCCAATTCAGCAGCGGAGCAGACAACATCGTTGAATGGAGACGACTGCCAACAGCATATGCGAATACCTTGGAATAAGAAACAACGGCATAACCATAAACTGTTGGCGCTCCTCGCGGATTTCTTGGATCTGCGCTGGACCCCCCTCCCTGGCGCGCGGAGCGCGCCAGGGGCGGCGCCGGACGGGGCCCAAGCGCAGATCCAAGAAATCCGCGCGGAGCGCCAACAGTTTATGTGTATGCCATTTTTCCTTCTTCGATGAATGGAGCCGACTGAAAAAAAAACACATGCGAACACGTTGGAACATCTTGTCCCGAATGTGCACCGCCGAGCGGCACGGCACGCCAGTGCGGGCACTGAAATCAGACCTTGGTCTGGCGAGGGCCCCGTGCAGCAGCAGCAGCAGCAGCCGCAGCAGCTGCTCACGGATGCTCGTCGCGTCTTCGGTGACAGGAGGTCTCAGCCCGCTTAACCTCGAGATCGTCGGGCTTGTCAAGCTCGAGCGCAGATGTTCATCTGTGAGTTGAATTGCTCAGACGTCTGCCTCAGGCTGTCAAATCGCGCACGTACAGCACCTGCAGGTCACAGACCCTACGCGCCTCGCCTCACAATGCACTCAATCTCGACTCTCTCGCCGATGAGTACCGCTTACGTTAAGCCGTAATGAGCAGTTTTGCCTTTGATGTCTGCGAAATTCTCCTCGAGCAGATGTTCCATGAGGCGCAGGAAGTCTGGAAAATCAGCGCCCTCACGAACTTGGCTGGGGGGGAGCATTCGGACCCAAACCTCGGCCAGCTGCTTCGCTAGCCTATTGTTCATCGGTGAGATGCGTGTCAGCATGCTCCCAAAGGCGTCGAAGCTGATGAAACCGTTGGCCTCAGTGTCGATGGCATTGAAGACCTCGCGGAAACCGCGGACCTGGGTCAAGGTGAAGCTGCACCCCTCCACAACCTGCTGCTCCTTGATCAATTTCATCTTCAACTTCCAGTCGTAGAATCGCTGCATCACTCGCTGCACATCTTTGAAGGTGAAGCCGTCTGACGCCTCCAGAACGGCCTCATCCAACAGCTTCTTCATCTCGACGCTCAGGGCGGGGTCGTGCACGTCTGCGTATTCCGACAAGCACAAGCTGTAGAGCTGCTCCGTAGTCAGCTTGCCATCCCCGTCGTCATCATGATCCCTGAACCTGAGGCGGAGATTCGAGTGCGACGTCGCATCCTTCCCCCCCAGCGAAGAGACGAAGCTCGTCCTTTGCAGACCCTTGGGAGTCCCAAAGGTCCGCATCGCTTCGACGACGTCCTGGTTCGAGGCGCCCGAACCCACCGAACGCTTGGACGCCCTTCCGCTGAGCAGCTGCCCTGTGCGCGGGTTGTGCGGGTCACCCGTGTGCGCGGGTGAGATGCCCCTAGACATGGCCATGCTGGCCGCCTTCCAATCCTGTGTGGATACGAGGCTCTGGTCGGCATTGATCCCAGCCTCTTCCAGCACGGAGCGGACCTGCTTGAACTGTCGCTCCCGGTGCTTCCGCACCAGCTTCTTGAACTCGCGAAGGGACAGGCGGCCTGAACCATCGATGTCCACCTGGCTGACGAGCTGCTGGAGAACCTCGTACGGCGACTCGTGCCCGAGCCACTGCAGCGCCCTGCCGGCATCCAGCGTGCTGATCTCTCCGTTCGCGTCCGACGAAGCCAGGTACTGGCCGAAGACCGCCTCGATTTCGTCGCACTCCACCCTCGTAAACCCCTCGCGGGCGCGGAAGACCTCCAAGAACTCCCACACCTCGCTGAGGGTGGGCGCCGAGTTCGCCTCTTCCTCCGCAGCCTGCACCGCCTCCTTCGAAGGCCCCCTGGACCGCACCGGCGACGTCGGCGTAGGCAAGGCACGCATCTCGCGCACGGACTTCCGCCTGGAGGAGGCCACGTTTCGGCCTCCGTCCCCGCCGCCCACGTTGTCGAACGAGAATGCGGACGTAGTGGCGAGCGAGGCGCGCCTCATGCCATCGCCTTCGATGACGGTGGCTGGGCCATTGGCAAATCTTGTGGATCGGCCTCCGGCTGGAGATGCCTGGGGAACAAGCGTGGTCGGGCGCCGATTAATATTCTTGTTCGCATCGCCAGGCAGGCGTATCCCAGCCTCTTCTGCCACCTCCTGAATCCGCCACTGTGCCCCCTGGCACGCTGAGGCGTGGTAGAGTGTCAAGTGCTGTCCGGCAGGGTTTCTGTGGTGGGACCTCCCTCCCCTCACCACATCAGGCGGCGTGCCCGCCCTCTCTGGATGCTTCGATGCCTCCCCAGCGCTCTCCAAAGCGTCCAGGACGGCTTCCAAAACCATCCAGGCAGGCCACAGGGTCGCCAAGATGGCCCGCCATGCGCACAAGACGGCCCAGGATGGCCCCAAGACTGCCCAAGATGGCCTCGGGACTGCCGAAGGGTCGCCAAGATAGCCCGACATGCGTCCAAGACGGCCCAGGATGTCCCCAAGACTACCCAAGATGGCCTCGGGACTGCCGAAGGGCCTCTCTAGACGGTCCAAGGGGGCTCCAAGAGAACGTCCAGCAGGGCGCGAGGAGGCACAAATCATTGATTGTCCTACGATGTTGATCGGTGTCTCGTATGTTCGCCTGTTGGGGCTTCCGTCGGCTCAAGATGGCCCAAGAAGCCTCCAAGATGGACCCACGAGGGCCACAAGATAGCCCAATAGGTCTCCAAGGCCTCAAGACGGCCCCACAAGGCCCCTGGACGGCCCAGGATAGACCCAAGAGGGCCTCAAGATGACGGCCTAAGATGACTCTTGGACAGCCCAAGACAACCACACGATGGCCTCAAGAGACCCCCCAGACGGCCACGAGGCCCCAAGACAGCCCCAAGACGGCCCAAGAGGTGGATAGGGTCCGAGCTTCTGGAAAACCATTTTCCTACTAAATGGTTTTCTGGGGACCCAGAAATTGTTGGGGGTCGGCTGACGGGGAGGAAAACGGAGGACGGACAGAAGCCCATGTGTCAGTGTGTCAGACGATGCCCCATGGCCCCATGGGCCACATGAGCCCAATGAACCTTGCGAGTCGGTGCTTCCTTCCTCCCCCCATCCTCCTTATCTTCATCCTCGCCATCCTCCTCCTCCTCCTCTGACTGCTCCCCGTTGTCCTCCTCGTCCTCCTCCTCATCACCACCATCCTATTCGCAAGTGTCGCCCAACGGCGGCATCCCTGTCGGGCCACAGGCATTGCCAAACTCAAGCGGCGCCCCGCGTCCGCCGCGGCCGCGGCCCCGTCGGGTGCCGTTGCCGCTCCCCGATCCCTCCGCGTGAGGGTACGGCTGTCGTCGCAAGATGGTCGACCCAGGAAGTTCGCTGCCGGGAAGTATCCACATCCACGTCTTCGGGATTGTGCCCAAAGGCCTCGGGGTGCGGTGGATGTGGATATCCGCATCCACATCCAGCGTCCATCGGGGTTCCAGGGCGCGACCCTGGAACCAGCGGATGTTGACGTACTCTGGCTATGCAGGAGGAAGAGCTCTGGCACGAGCGGCTTCCAGGAAGAGATCGGCAAGCAAACTTGGCTACGGAGCTATCCTTAGGTCGGGCCTGTCCCCCCACAGGGGGATTTTGGACGAAAAGTTCAAACGAGTCAAGCAATACACCAAAAATGGTCAAACATAGTCGTACAATTGTTCCCTGATTATTTTCGACTATTCTTGAATATTCCCCCTGCAGAGGGACAGGCCCGACTGAAAGCTAGCCCGCGACCAGGTCGTCCTCGACGCGGAGCACCAAACAATGCAGCACGAGGATGCCGTGTCGAGAGCGCACAGGGCCGTCGCCAGGGACGCGCTGCGAGTGGAGCACCAAACAATGTGCAGTATGAGGACCCCGTGGCAGGAGCGCACCAAGCCTCCGCAAGGGAGGCGGCGCGAGTGAGGGCAGCCAGGGATTCAGTCGGGCGTGTCCCCCTACAGGGGGATTTTCGACGAAAATTCAAAAATATTCAAAAAATATACCAACATGGTAAACATACCAATAAGAATAATAACGTCCCCAGACTATGTTTGAACTATGCTTGAATATTCTTCCTGTAGAGGGACGGGCCCGACTTAAGCCAAAGACTCGGGGGGCCGCCGACGTGGCGGCGGAGCAGCGCAGCTTCCGGCGGTGCATGGACACCTGCAACATGACGAAAAACCGCGTGCCCAGAGCGGCACGGGACGCTGTGCGTGGCCTGCGACAGAGAGCCAGCGGGACGCCGAGGCCCAGAAGTCCCGGCGCAGGGCGGCCGCGGCCGCCAAGGCGGCAGCGCGGTCCACGCGGCTCGCGCGGACGCCTTCGCCTGCGCCGCGGCGGCCTTGACACTCCGTCCAGGGCCAAAAAACTTACACCACCACCACTTCCGTCACCCTCTGTCTCCTTTTTTGTTGGACGATTTGTTAACACCATCCGTTCGCACTACAGCCAATAAAACAAAGCGGGGGCGCGCAACGAAGATGTCACGAATTGCGGCCCGCAAGTCGTACCAACTAGAAGTGGGCAACCGCCGCAACAGTCTGGACGGTCACGCGGCGGGGGGGGGGAGGATGAAGAGGGGGGAGAGAGGGGATGGATATGGTAAGAGGGAATGGGGGTGGTGGTGTATATTTTTGAGACCCTGACGAATCGTTCGCAATTAGGGTGATCGAACACTTGGTCGTCGAACCGGCGCTGTTACGGCAGTGTGCAATTGAATTCCCCCCCGTCCAACGTTTGTGGCGCCTGGGCACTTCCTCCCGCAGCATCCTGCCTTCAGGCTGCCGGGTGCCTCGGATGGACTTGGAAAACGCTTCGCGGTTTAGCTTTCGACTGCTGCCCTGGCTTGCCGCTCCGCGTGCCATCGCGACGGCGATGCGAAGCGGAAGCTGCCCGCTCGAGCGCGTTGGATTCGCGGCTGGCCTCAACAGCGCATAACAAATTAGCCCTCTGAACCCTCTGAGCCTTATGAGCCCTATGGGCCCTCTGAACCCTATGAATTCTATGAGCCCCCTGGGCCCTCTGAGCCCTATGAGCCCTGTGAGCCCTCTGAGCCTCATGCGCCCAATGAGCCCAATGAGCCAGCCTCCGCCTCCGCCTCCGCCTCCAGGATGAAAGCCGCGTGCGACTCCCGGGCCTTCACGATGAACCCGGCAGCCTCCTAGGATCAAGTAGAAGGCGATGGAGGATGAGGGGGGGAGGGGGGGGGAAGGGAAGGGGTCCAGACCTGAGGGCACCAAACCAGGGACACCAACCACCCAACACACACACACACACACATGCACACACACACACACACGCACACACACACACACACGCACACACACACACACACACACACACTTTGAGCATGGAAGCATAAACGAGCCGAGTCCGACAAAAACGACGGCGACTGGAAGGACATCCTGGAGGACGGGGTCTCGGTTCCCATTCTTATTACCCCAAAGCTCCCACGGCGAAGTTCAACAAAAAAACATACTAGTCGGCCGCGAAGCCCCCGGTGTCCATGCCAATTATAAAGCAGCGCTGTATCCATGGACGGCCCGGTCATGCAATTAATACAAGTCATACAAGTCGGCAGCGTAGCCCCCGGTGTCCATGCCAATTATGAAGCAGCGCTGTATCCATGGACGGCCCGGTCACGCAAATAATACAAGTCATACGAGTCTGGGTCGTAGCCCGCAGTGTCCATGCGAATTAACTCGCGGAACTGTATCCATGGACGGCTATGGCACGACATACGCAACTCTCATGCACCCTTTGAACTCTCATGCGCTGTCCAAGGGCTTGTGGGCGCTCAGCGGGGGGCGCCCCCCGCTGGCGCCACCGCCGCCGGCGCAGCCGCCGCGGCAGCCGCGTCCGGCGCCGCCGGGGCAGCCGCGTCCGCCCGGGCCCCGCCCGCAGCAGCCCCCGCGTCGGCCGCAGGCGCGGCCGTAGCTCGGCGGGCGAGCACGCGGCCGGTGGGCCTGGGCCCACCCAGCGCCTGCACCACGCCCCCCTTGCCGCCTGGGCCGCCCTTTCCGCCCTTTTTGGCCTTGGCCTTGCCCTTCCCTTTGCCGCCCCTGCCGGCTTTGCCGCCCTTGCCGCCCTTGGCGCTCTTCCCACCTTTAACGCCCTTCTCGCCGCGCTCGGAGTAGAACAACGCCCGTGGGCGCACAGGGTCGTCAGGGCTCCGCGTGGCCTGCCCGTTCACGACAAGACCCGAAGCTCTGCGCATCAGGGAGTCGAGCGGCGCCAGGGCGCTCTCCACCAGCAGAGACTCTGTCCCGAAGCGCAGGGTGGTCACAAAAGTGCCCGCGATCCGCTCCCAATTGCCACGATCGTCGTTCCACTTCGACTGGTCCCACACACCCGTCACCAGCCCACGCGTCGAGAGGACACGCGAGAGTCTGCGGACGGCCCGGGCAGTCTCGGACTCCGGGGCTCCGTCAAGTTTCTCGTCGAGGGGCCAGGCCACACCGAGGTGGACCGCCGCCTCCTCGCAGATGACCTCCGACCACCCTGCTTTAAGCTCCTCCCACTGCTTCGCTGCGTGCTTCTGCATGTAGAACAGGTCAGCCTTGGCGAAGCCCTCACACACCATGGCCGTGCTGCGGAGCACCGTGCGGATGCTGGTCTCGTGGCGCTGCGTAGTGCGCTCCAGGCGCTCGAGCCGCTCGCCGTGCGAGGCAAGGGTCTGGTCCACCTGCTGGCGGCGGGCGGCCGACATGGCAGCCAACGGGCGGCCGGGGGCGGCGGGGTAGGCGCGCCCGCGGTCCTTGGAGCTGCGGCGACGTACAGATCAATGAAGAAATGGGACTGCAGTGTGGCACCATGGACAATCACGTGCATACGCGATGTGATAGGTGGTCCGAAAGGGAGCGGGGCGGGGCGGGGAGCGGGAGAGGGGGAAGGGGGAGGAGGGGAAGGGGGAGGGGGAAGGGAGGGGACGGAAGGGAACGGGAGGGAGGGAGGGCGAGGCAGGAACACCGACCACCACCACCGAAGCGCACAAGAGGGGGGACACCACTCGGTATTGAGAACGCACACACAACCACGGCTTCCGCATAACACAATCCGGAAGACAGCACTGGCTGCAAGGGCGCGGGGGCGGCGTGGCCTGCGTCGGTAGGCGCAGGTCTGGCACATGACGGAACAATGCAACCGTCTGCCGC